GGGGGGTAATGATTGCCTATGTTCATGGGTTTTACGTCGGGGGGTGGGGGTACCAGTGCCATGTCCAGTGCCCAATGCAGTGGCAGTGGTCAATCAGCCACCCGTTACCTATTGAACGTCACACCTTATGTCTTTTAAATCACCTTTCATAGAATAGGTATAGCTCCTAAAAATTGTGTCATCCGTTTAACTTTACCTTCTCCTTTTAATCGTGATAAATAGGGTGTAATACTTTATTTTTTATTTTTTCTTGTTTTTAAAGAGAGTGTTTTTAGGTATCAGAACAAACTTTATTTTAAATTTTGGAAGTGATACTCAACTTTTGGTGTGTTTTCTTGTGAAGTCTTCTGCAATCTTGTCTTCCATGTGACAGAGTTACCTTGACAGAAACGTATCAAAAGAAGTCAACTTCAATCGACATCATCTTCAGTTCTGTGTTCCTTCTATACTGATTTCTTTCTGTGTAATTTGACTGATTCTCTCTCTCTCAATGTAAATATTACAAAATAAAACATTGTAGTTTTGGATACACTTAACGTCTTTTTCTCTGAACACCTATTCCCTGGCGTCCTTTACGAAGCTGCATTTGTGCAGCCAAGGTGCAACCTGTACAGAGAATTTGAACAATCGCGCGCTTCTCTTCTCTCGATCGGTGAGCGGAAGCGTCTGCTTTCGATAGGTATCGATTTACAAACACACGGCTTCGCGTTGTTTTTGTCAGACCACCGTTCAAACGTCAATTTTGATTATTTTTAAGCCGTGGAAAGTGTTTTAAAACCTACGTTTCAATAATTGTATCCATTACCATTCTAAAATACTTCCTTTTCGTCAAGTATCTTTCTTCCTGTCATTTATTCTTTAACAACACATATTTATGCAGGTTAGGCTCTTTTCGTATATTATCACCAAATACTTGTTGGACCAAATATTTCGTGTTTTCTTGAAAACAACTTTTAAACAGCAGATTTTTGGTGAAGTCAGTGGTCATTAACGACCATGTCGCTGTACGACGACGTCGATGCTATTAAGCAAAAGAACGACCCGGTTGCGGGATGGTCCTCAGGAATCAAACTTTTCCAGTCACAACTACAGTTAAAGAAGGCTACTCAAACCCAGGTAGTTACACTAGCTAACCAGGTTTACATGGCAGTTATACGAATTCACTAAAAATGTTTCAATGTATTCTATCTAACCATCTTTTTTACCTTTCACCTGTTCTTTATCAGCCGAAGAGAGACATCACAAGAAAATTAGGAGGTCCTGTTTTACCTCCTGTAATAGACTTGAAAACCAAAAAGGACGATGAAGATATATTTGGAAGTGTACATAGCAAGGTAGAAATATTTTCCTGATGTAATTTTATCTGTTGTAAACCTGTAAACAGTTCATAATATTAATTTCAGCCTGCTCCCGTGGGGTTGTCAAATCGTGATGACTGGCAAGTTGAAGGAGAGTATGATCCTATGTGGCCAAATGATTATGAAAAAGTAGTAATTGGTAGGAAGCTCTTAGGTTAATCCTTTTTCTATACCATCCAAGTTTCTTCTTTTAAAGTCGCTTTACTTTCATTCCAGAATTAAAGGAAAAGCGTGAACGCGAAAAACTTAAAGAGGAAGATGATAGAAGAAAACGTCGAGGCGAAATGGCTAGACCAAGGGATACGTGAGTGTGAACACGTTACATTTTCAGCTTCTTCTTTGTAATGCATCGTTTCAATCAACTTACTACCCTACCTTAAATTGTTCACAGGCGATTCGAAATGTCAGAATTACCTCGCCCTTCTGAGGAAGAGGAGGAAGATACTGAACGAATGACTAATATGGGGTCTACTCCAAGAAGTGGAGGCGCTGCAATTGCTCCACCTCCTTCATTGCAAGAGCCAAGCCAACCGACAGAGGCTCCTTCAGGAGCAAAGCCCGCACCATCATTTGGGGGAGGCTCTGTTGCAGCCAAAATTATGGCCAAGTTTGGTTACAAGGTGTGCAACTGTTTTCTTTCTTGAAATCTAAGTTGTTCATATCATGCTAAAGATTTTTCTCATTTTCTTGTACAGGAAGGTCAAGGTTTGGGCAAAAAGGAGCAAGGAATAGCCATGGCTCTTCAGGTCGAGAAAACAAGTAAACGAGGAGGAAGAATTATTCATGAAAAAGATATGATGCCTCCTCCCTTGTTTGCCATGCCCACTGCTCCTGTCTCTGCGCCTCAAGCAGCAACTACTAGTACTCAGCCTAAGCCAGAACCTTCTATCACAGATATTTTGAGAGAACCATCCAAAGTAGTGCTGCTCAGAGTAAGTGTGTCCCAAAATGTTGTCTTTCCTCAACCAAAATCTAATGTGTTTGATAAGTTGTTTTCATTCCACCTAATATTTTATCTTCAGAACATGGTAGGACCTGGAGAAGTTGATGACGACTTAGAGCCTGAAGTTAAAGATGAATGCAATACTAAATATGGAGAGGTTATTAAAGTAGTTATATATGAACTTCCGCACAATCCACCTGATGAGGCTGTCAGAATATTTGTTGAGTTTAAACGCATGGAATCTGCTATTAAAGGTATAATTTTTTCTCTCTTAAAGGTATACTCAAAAATTCCTCCCAAATGATTCTTAAATTTTCTCTTTTAAAGCTGTGGTTGACCTAAATGGAAGATTTTTTGGAGGTCGTCAAGTGAAAGCTGGCTTCTACAGTTGGGATCGCCTTCAAATGCTTCAACTTCTAGACTGATAATTTTACATATTATTTACATAATACTTATCTAATAAATTTCAAACTACTCTATAAAGTATTTTGTAACATTTATTGAAATTACTTGATTCTATTTCAGAATGGATTTGTACTGGATCCTTAAAAATAAAGTCAGATCATAAAATTAATAAAAACAAAGAACTTATTTTGAAACACGTAAATTTTTACAATTGAGCTTTTAAAACTTTTAAAACTTTGTTTCTTTGGAAAAATAATTAACATTGGCTAGAACCATGGTAACATTTCATACAAGCATAAAGTTCTCATCCCATCTTCTGTATGAGATTTATCAGAAGTTGAAATCTTCTATTAATCTGTAAAGGAAATGCACATATATTTAGATAACTATGAAAGGGGCCAAATAAATTCAATAAAAGAGGGGAAATATTGTTACTACCTCATTACGAGTTCTGTGGGGAAGCTGAGCATTGATTATGGTAAGAGTTTTTTCCTTGTCAGGTTCTGACTGGAAAGTACATAAGATTATTCGGTCCTCTTCTCTTGTCCAGGATGCCGCCTCGTTATCTTCACTAGAATATTCCATATCACAATCTGAGCTAGTACCAGAATTATCCACACAAGCTTCTTCTTCCTCATAGTCCTCATCTTTTTCATCCATTGAAATATATTCCGCTGATTTATCTTCATCTTGTACATCTATTTCATCATCTTTGGTATCTGTATCAGAAACCATGCATTCTGCATTCTGAATTTCTTGATATGAATTACCTTGATGACACTCCTCTTTGACTTGTTCTTCTTCACATTCTTTATCTGACAGTAAGTGGTTATCATGGTGGATTTCAATATCAACATTTGATTCACTTTCTCCTAAATGGCAATGGTCTTTGTTCCTTGGTTGGTCAGTTTGCAAAGTAGACAAATCAAGTTTTGGTTGATTTTCATCTCCACATGGGGCAGCCACTGCATCTTGATCATGAATCACAGTCAGTGATGACGGGCTCAATTTTCCACCTGATGGTTTCCGATTCAATGAAAGGCATCGGGCAGATGCTGGCTTCTCACGCATTGACTTGGAAATTTTTGGCCTTTGTCTTGGTGACTTACTCTTAATAGGAAATTCGTCGTCAGTTTCAACACTATGTTTGCATTCTTCTTGTTTGATAGATACCTTAGGGAGGGAAATAAAATAAGGATGTATATACATGGAAAGAGTAAGATTCTAAAATAGCAACTTCAAAATCAATTATGGGAATACCTGTGTTGTGCTTGTTCGTCCACGTCGAGAACGAGGCCGGGATAACTGCTTGTGGTCATTTAGTCTTTTCATATTACTGGTTGTGCTTCCATTCCTGAATTCTATTTTTACCGGACGTAGTCCATGCTCTCTTTGCATAAAAACCTTTCCTGCTATGAACTGCAAATTAATCAAGAGATACATTGAGATGAGCATGAAGTGTAGAATATACAGGTTTATTCCCATGGGAAAATCTCGTTGCATCCACGTGGAATCAATGGCCAATTTCTATCCATCTACGTCATTACGCGATTTCTAAGTCGAGTCCACATGAATTACATAGATTCACAAGTAGTCCCTGTCGCATCTACGTGGATAGGGTTACGTGGACGTCATTTCCCATGGGGATGGTAATCAGGTCATGTTCAAAGGTTCACTTAGGAGTTTAAAACGGTAAAAAAAAACAAAAACATCCCTGTAGTAGATACAACTATCTCACCTTGATGCCACATGGGTCACAATGTTTACTGCGGTTGGAGTAGGAAGTATCCTCTGAGCTGTGACAACAGCATTGACAATTTTCTCCACCATATCGATCATCATTATCTTCAGGAATATCCAAAAACTCATAAACATCCTCCTCTCCAGAATGTTCGCTGTCCACATCATCACAATTCAACTGAGCAAAATCAGTCATTTTACTGGAAAAATTAATTAAAATGTTAAGTACATGATACAAAAAAAGAAGCAAGAAAACATATTCTTTTTAACTGACCTCTCAGGTGGACGACCTGTAGGTAACAATTCCAGAAATGAATCTGATAGGAAAGTATTGTTGCGAAGTAGAGGAAGAATAGTGTTTCGCACCATTTCCAAGGTCAAATTAGGATTTTCAGCCAGGCGAGTCCAACTTGCAAAAATTTTCTTCAGATGTTGGGGTTGTTTGGAAAAACACACCTTGCATAAACAGGAATTGCAGTATTACACCCAGAATAGGCACAAGTAACAAGAGAAAAGTAAAATAGAACTTAAGTGTACCTCTAGCTTGTTTAAAAAAGATTTCATTTCTGTGAGTGCCAAATGTTCCATGAACTTGCCACATTGTAAAGCTTGATCAGGATGCAGAAATAAAAGAAATTCTTCACAGAGATCTGGACTGTCTTCAAGTAGATTAATTACTTGATGATAAAAGTCAGATATACTGTACAATCTTTTCCCAAAATCATTCATCAATTCAACAAATTTTGAAAACACAGCTGGATTCTGATTTTCATATCTATCCCTGACTTTAAGAAAATATGATTGAGAAAGAACTGCAAGAGAAAGCAACACCAGAGTTAAAAATCATAATGTATACAATTTTTAAGAAGATGAAAATTTATTTTATTATGAAAATAAATGCATACCTTTACTTTTCTCTTCAGATACTAAGTGTTCATCAGAAGTAGCTAAAGGAAGAGCATGTTCTAAATCTTTTTGAAGCTGATTTCGTTTTTTCAGAACTCGATTACGATTCCTGAGGTGAACTGGTCTGTTAATGGTGGCATTTTGTTGACTAGCAACAGTAGAAGAGGACGTACCTTCTTCTTCAGCATCCTGAGACAGAGCAAACTGAATGTAAGTTATGTAAAACGACAAAATTACTTGATTGAAAAACATTGTGCACCCAAATATACGAACACCAAGGTCATCGCCATTATGCTCCAATCCAGGGTCTAATGAATAGTCAGAAGGGCCTTCTTGTTTTCCGAGATATTTTTCAGCATTACGAAGGGCAGCATCCAGTGAGTCCATACTGGCAAATAAAAACACAGTTATGGCAATGGCTAAAAATGGAGGTATTCCAGAATAAAATAGGTAAAATACATACCCAGCAGCCAAATTTTGAACAGGCTTAGAGGGCTGAACCCCAAGACCCTGAAAATATGTAATGAAAAATGAATTTAAAAATAAATAAAACTTAAAACTAATTTTTAATGAACACTTACCTCTTCCATAATTTTTCCTTGGGGTTTTAGCTTAAGCGACTTTCCATTTTTGGCTTGCCGCTGACAATCATACTTTTTAATGATTGGTGTAACATGTTTTAAAGGTGAAGCCTTTTTCAACAAAGGGCTTGATGAGTGAACAGATTGACCTGAGTGACAGGAATCATCACCTGAAGATTTAATTAAATGACTGATCTCCGTTTCCATTATCCCAACACAAACAGTTCAGGATTTCAGTAGCCTGGAGTCTGAAGATGTTGGAAAAGCACAACTTCATCTTCTTAGGTGCACATCTTCTGACCTGGGTGAAGGGTGCAGCCTGATGGTCTAGCTAACCTGGAAAGGAGTTGGCGTCATATAGGACTCTTGAATTTTCCCGATTCCGTCGCCAAAACAGTAAATACTCTTTTTTTAAATCCTAACCTCCTGTAATTCTCAGATCAAAACACACAGTGACCACGTGATGAAAACACATAAGCACACATCAGTCGAACACAACTGCAAAAAAGAAAAGATCAAATACGTACATATTCTTCCAAAAACTAGTAAAAACATTCAAGAAAACCCTTTAAAATTGTATTACAATCGAACAAATGTAACACGGATTTAAGCCCGCTCGTAATTTGAGTCCACACGATTACTTAGTAAGTTACCATTCAACAGTTGGTGACAGTGGAAATTTTGTACTGCACACAAAAACAACAATATGTGAAAAAGTTAAAATGAGTGTTTTATTTGAGTCTCCTGATGGTTTAGTTGTATGTCACGCGAAATATCTAGAAACCATTTATAGTGTTGTTCATAAGGAAAATAATGTGATTAAGTTGAAACCCAACAAAGATTTATTTCTTGTGAAAACACCGTATATGAAAGACGCAGAAGCGATCAGGAAGGTTAGGGTGTGTGACGACTCGTGTACCAATTCCCAAACTAAAAAGAGAAAACATGATAAAGTCTGCTCCGAAAAATTATTAGAATCAAAGGTTAAAAATATCATATTGTTTAATTTTTGCTGTATGTTTTTCCAATGTCTAACAAAAGCTGTTCTTTGTTGCAGGTTATGCTCACTAAAAATGGGTACAACAAGCTTTTAAATGAAGCCCAACTTCACAACCATTTTCTTTTTACTCCATCTTTGACTGACATTTGTGAGAACAATAAACAAGCTCGCTTGTTATCAGAAAAACTTTATCGGGAATCATCTGATTGGTTGTCAGCTCCTTTTAATGGAGAAAATAATTCAGACGATGCTTTACTGAAGAAGATTGGTTCAGAGTACTTTGTCTTCCCCCCACACTCCAATTTCTTTTGTCGTGATGTCCTTGATATACAACATCACCTTGATTCACTTGGAAAATTTGACTTAATTCTCTTAGATCCACCATGGTGGAACAAATATATTCGTCGCAAGAAGGCCAAATGCCTCCAGGAAGGGTAAGTTTAGTACTACAACCAATATTTCTACTGTTCTATATTACTGAAATACTTTATTGTTTTTTAAAATATCAATTTCACAATTTCAGTTACAAGATGATGTACAATAACTGTCTCACAGAGATCCCATTAGATAAGCTGCTTGCTCATGGTGGAATAATTGCTGTTTGGTGTACAAATTCAAAACAAAATTTAGAAGAGTTGAAAGAAAAATTATTACCATTTTGGGGTGTCAAGCAGGTAGCTCAATGGACATGGATGAAGGTAGTTGTTTTATTTTTTTTACTTTTTTGGTCTCACCAGGTACAGGGGGGTTAATCAGAATCAGCATCCTGGTATATGCGAAGTATGTTGATTTAAGGAACTTGTCACTGGAGCTACTGTGTCCTAATTGCTGGAAATCTTTTCCTTGTTCTTCAGGTAACACTCTCAGGGCAGCCAGTCTGTCCATTCTCGGAACCCCCTGGAAAACAGCCCTTTGAACAATTAATATTTGCAGTTCGTCCTGATGAGGTGAAGTTATTTCCTACACCTCCAGATGGAAAAATTTTTATGAGTGTTCCCAGTTCAATACATTCCCACAAACCCCCTATTTTTGGTAAGCTAAAAATTAAGTCTATTTTATTTTGTTGAGAATGCTTGTTTGATTATTAATTTGAGTTCTATGTTGATTGGTTGATTTATTTAGATATGTTAAAACCATATCTACCAGCTGAATCGAGATGCCTGGAGATATTTGCCCGTTATCTTCTTCCAAACTGGACAAGTTGGGGTCTTGAAGTGCTCAAACTTCAACATGCTTCTCTCTATGATCAAGATGAGATACCAGCCAACTCAAGCTGATACCTATGATGCCCTCCATCCAGGTTTTCATCTCATTTCCTCTTCCTACCATTTAAATATTTAACAACACTATCATACGGATAAATATCAATTATTGTTGAACTTATTCAATTCAGTCTTAATGTCCATTTTCTGTGATATTTGTGAGAATGCAAGGTGTATGCCCATTTTGCTTTAAGCTGTCTCCATTTCTCTGTTGATGTCCGTTTTGTTTAGCATTTTCCATCTCTCCATTTCTTCTGGAATTCTGTGTTATAGAATGTCCATTATTAGATTTTCTTATTGGCGATCCATTTTCATCTGTACATTTCCTGTACCCATCGGGGTTCATAGTTTGCCACCGCCAGAAGTCTGCACCTGTTGGTTTTACTCAAGCATTAGATCATCATACAAATTGCAGCCACAGCATTTTTTATAAAGGAATGAGGCCAAGTCTACTTACACATTTGAGGAAGAGTAAATTTGGCTTTCCAGCCTAGCTCATTTTCTGCCAAAGTTGCATTTGCATACATTGACACAATATCTCCATCCCTCCTGTCACAGATTTGAAAGGGAATTTTGGATTTGGTGACAGATTCAAAAGTCCTGAGTAGTTGTAACACTGATACACCATTGCCTGTGCCTAAGTTGTAGATTTTGATTCTTTGGTGCTCTCTGTGTAGTTTATCCAAGGCAGCAACATGGCCCTTTGCAAGATCCATTACATGGATGTAGTCACGTACGCCTATGAAAGAAAACAACACAATTGATTAGAGTTATTAGCAATTATTCACTTTAATTTCTTCTTGAAGAAACATTCCCATTTACCTGTTCCATCTTCTGTGTCGTAATCTCCTCCAAATATAGTGAGATAAGGCTTATTGCCAATGGCCACCTGGGCCATATAAGGCATTATGTTTGTAAATGCCTTTGTTGGGTCCTCTCCTATGAGTCCTGAGGGATGTGCCCCCACAGGGTTAAAGTATCTCAAGGCTATAAAATTCCATTTCTGGAACAAAAATAATGGCAACATACAGTATGTGTTATAAGAAAATAGGAAGAAGGGGTTTTTAAAATCTAGCAAAATTAATAAGGCCAAGAAAATTTGTGAGGAATAATGCTCCATGTTTCCTTACGCACCTTATTTGCCACAGAAATGTCCTTGAGCATTCCCTCAATGAAATGTTTTGTGCGCCCATAAACATTAGTCACATCACCTGTGGGATGTGTTTCAGTGATAGGAAGACTTTCAGGGTTGCCATACACTGTGCAAGATGAGGAAAACACCAGCTGATACACATTGTGTGCCTCCATGACTTCCAGCAAGTTGATGGTTGCAATCAAGTTGTTCTTGTAGTACAAGAGTGGAAACTGCATTGACTCGCCGACAGCTTTGATCGCAGCAAAGTGGATTACGCAGTCAATGTTGTGCTACAGCATAAATTTCCAGTTACAATCATTCTTTTATAGTCAAGCGCCATATAATAGAAACATATGACTCAACTCACCTCCTGGAATATCCGTTGCAGGCCCAGCTTGTCCAGCAGGTCGCACTCGTAGAAGATGATGTTTTTGCCTGTGATTTGCTGAACTCGCTCCAGGGAGGGCGGCAGGCCGTGCCCAGGCACCGAGTTGATGAAGTTATCCAGGGCGACGACGTTGTAGCCCGCCTCGAGCAGTTCGACTGTGCAGTGACTACCGATGTACCCGGCTCCACCCGTCACCAATACAGTACGTCCCGACATTGTCCTGGAAAGGGAGAGATCTGTTGGTGTACGGCCTCTATGGCCTCTAGGGAAGACCACGGGGATTTGGGGAAAGGAAAAGGGAGGGGGGGGGGTAGCGATTGACGCATGGCGTTGCAATGCCCGCAGCTTATAGGCCTCCCAGCCTGTGGCTGTCAGTACTCTGTTGCATCCCTCTTTCGAAACTGCGTTCGCGTTATTGCCTCAATGTCTGTCGCTGCGAGCCGCGCGGGCGGGGCCTGTCCTGTGCGCGTACACGGCCTCTGTGCTTCCTATATTTTTTTCCTCTCTCTCCCCTTCCCATCATCACTCTCCTAAAATGTCAAGGCTATGGGCTGAGGTCAGTAGTGCGTCACCAATAGTTTAATCGTTTTCCGTACAAACAGGGTGGGTTGATCCGCGCCGTCTTTTTTTTTCCTGCCTATACTGTACTGGATTCATACGTGCGGACGGGTTGCATACTCGCACGGGGCGTAAGGCGCCATGGCGAGCGAAGATAGATAGGCAATAAGCCCGCCCGCACGCGTCCCAGTCTGCCGCCGGTCGAGAGGGGAGAAGAGGGAAGAGGGGCAGGGTTTTTCCTTCTGGTAGAGACAGTCTTGGGGACTGTCAAAAAAGACGGCGCGGATCACCCACCACGTTGATGGCATGGTCCCTTTCTGGCATTCCCTTAGCTACCGTCCTCTCGCAGGGCCAGGCTTGAGCTGGCGGCAGTCCGACGCCCGGAGGCGCATCTAGCGGTCTCTCCAGATTATTCCCTTCTCGGACAAGGTCGTGACTAATGGCTCTGGTCCTGGCGGCCTTGAACTTCAACTTTAACCTGATGGGCGCTCAGGCGCCGACCTACAGGACAGGCCACAGCCAACGAGCCAACGGATCTAGCCAAAGCTGCATTATTATCTCGTTTGCCACACTCAGGAAGTACATATCCTTCAACTTTCTTAAAGCTCCTCAGCTTTAACCGACGAGAGTAGTTTTACTCAGAGACTATAGGCCTTGAATGGATAGGGAGGACGAGTTATTGCTTTGGCGTGGTCAGGGCGACCAAAGGGGAAATGCGCTCGGGATTCCAAAGCAGGCGTATCTTGAATTAGTGTCTATAGCAGATTGTGAGGGGAAGAATTCCAATTCGTTTCCAAGCCGACGAGATGTCAGCTGACCGCATAGCTGCAAGAGCGACGCGGCGGCAGGTGCCAAAGATGTGCGAGGTCAACGCTCCTCCGATGCTGTGCCCAGGTACCCGGTAGTGGTGGTACACCCGCGCGGGTACCGCTCCATGGCTGTAAACTGGCGGCCCGCGTCGGTCGTTCACTCACCCCACTCTGCGCACCGCACAATGTCACGAGGCGAGACAAGTCACTTTGGGGCTCCCAGCAGCGGTGGCGCTCTGCTCCGCACGGCCGACGACGTCTCCTCGAGGGGGCCGCAGCCGCTGGAATGAAGTCTGTGTGTCCCGTCCCCTCTGCTGGCGTGGCTCCGGCCCTCCGGCCCCGCCCCACCTCCGCCGCCACCACCACCACTCTCCTCATGGCTCTCCTGTCGGCGCCCCGCCACGCCCCGCCACGCCGCCGTCGTACAGGGGCCAATGTCCCCCCTCCGGCCCCACCCGATAGAATCTAGGCAAGAGAGGCCATGAGTCGCCAAAACACCGCGAAACTCGAAGGACTTACTCCGCGGACTTAATTGCTGACACCAGATTTGTTTCCTCGCCCCTCCTTCCCTTCCCTGATCCTATCAACAGAGCACTTGCGCGCTCTAGTTGTTAAACAGCGTCGGGCAAGTTGAGGCGTCTTGGACGGAAGGGAGGGGAGAAGAGTCTTCAGAGGGGCGGGGCGAGCGGCGAAAAAACATGTGTTGGGCGGCATTTGCTGTCGTCGTTCTGCCCGTGGTTCTGCCTCACGAACATGACAGCAGCTGGCGGGCGCAGATGGGCCGTCCAAGGAAAAACGAGAGGAGCACTGACGATTGGACTTGGAGTTACATTTTTATTCCACCATTAATATACTCTAAAAGTTGCCATAGTAAAATTTGACCTCATAGGATCTAGGCTACCCTCACCACGTGTACAATCATTCTGGTTGGTTTCCAGTAAAAAAATATCAATGAAGCATCTGTGGTAAAAATATGTTTCTTTACAATCTATGAGTATGAAGCAATGCTAAGTGGAATTTGGCCTACAATGCAGAGAACATGCCAGTTAATGATATGTTCTTGCATGTAATAGAAAATTAATTCAAGTTTGGACTTAATCCTACTGACTTAGAGATAAAAGTTTCTAGCTCTGGTTTTGCTCAATAAGATGGCAATATGTGCCACAAATAGTGATTTCAGTCATGATAGGAGGGACAAAAGCTCATTCCCAGCTTAAAATATTACATTACATCAAGTTTTACATTACATCATTTCAGATAGTGGGCCATTAGCAAAGTAATATTAGAAGAAAAAACATTTTCTTGAGTAGGAAGTAGCAATAAGGTTGGAAAGTGAAATGAAAAATTTACCTAATATTTTTCTGCTAATGTACCACATTGAATAAACTTTCAACTTTATAACTGATAAATAAGTCATGGTATTGCAAATGTTTGTTACATAACATCTAGGCACTTGGAAGCAAAAAAGAAAAAAAAAAATTAAAACATGTCAAATTGTTGAAGAGCCAAAGCACTTCCACCTCTGAAAGGAAATTGATTGCTCTACTCTTATATACAAGAAAAATAAACATAAGACGATGAAATAATGTTTCTGAAAGGTCTGAAATACCTCATTAAGTATCTTTTAAATGTGGCACTATAATATGGAAGGAAGTAATAATTGGTGTGTTGGCAAATTGAAAGTTACAATACTGCCACCACTACATCACAAGATTATTTTAACGATACTGATGCTGAACAGAATGAGCAGCAAAAACATAAAACAACTTTGGCACCATTTTGGTTTAAGTTGATCATAGAAGAATGGTTTACTTTAAGATTCACAAACAAAAGGTGATAAATTTAACATGTGATGAATCATGGATAAAAATTATACTAGAAATTCATTGAAAGACTGCTCACACAACTTCGGCTGAGCAAAATGCATGCAGACATACAGCAGGAAAAAAACCAAATACCCATAAATATTGAAAATATTATCTTAATCTCCTAGGTTGCATTAAAATACCTGTACAATGACCAGATAAAATAGGTTTTGGTGCAAATAGTTAAAAGATAGATTTTAAAGACGTTTTGCACAAGCAAGAAACATAGCACAAAATAAATATCATAAAACTTGTCCCTGCTTCTCCCTACACAAATACTGCTAAGTGTGTAGTCTCCAAATCAACAGAATTAACACATGTACAAAATAGAAAGCAACAAAGAGAAGGACAGAGTTCACTTTTATACACTACAATTATTAACTACAAGGCTATCAAGCTCACTATCATATCACAATGTCAAGCAATCCACAGCCATGGCATATGCTTCTACTTCTCTGCCACATTAACTGAATTATGCTTTCCTACTACTAAGTTTCAATAATCTGCTCTAAAAAAATAAAAATAGGACAATGATTGGACAGACATAAGATCCCCAGTCAGAATAGACGAGCCTCCTCTACCGTCACAATTTATCTCTGTTAACTGCAATTTAAAATACTGACATATTTTCAGAACTTGTGGTTTCTAACTGCAGTAAGGACTTACATACCCAAAATACTATTCCAAATGCATGATGGCACAGACAACAAAGAATATTTCTAATTTTTGGAAATTAACTGCTTGATCTTTGATCACAATTAGGTAAAAGAAGCCAGAACACTAATGAACACTTCCAGACACATTTATCAAAGCTTACACTCTTTGCAAAATCAATTGTTCAATTTGCTTTGACAAAAATAAAATGTTATAAAAAGTGCTGAAAATGTGCACGACAAAACTCGCAGGCAGTAAAAAAAAATTTAAAAAAAATGATAAAACTCCTAGTATTTCTTTCAGCCAAAAACAACTACCAATTAATATGACATTCCTATTTAAATTTATTGAGTGAAATAAGCAAGGCAGATTGATCATCAAATCAGTCATAGATGAAAATCTAATTAGTTATGGACTAATCATAGTTGAGCACACAGTTAATGTGTTAAAATTATAGCTCATTTCAAAAGGTTTTGTTTTAGTTTCACTCATAGTGCTTGTGACCTGATGTATTGAGATGGTAGAATGAAAGATACAGCGAGCAAAAATTACAATATTTGAACATTGTAAATTTTAAATTTTTCTGTGAGCAAATGGTCCCTAAACAGGAGAAGTAAAAATATTAGGGAATTTTATGATACTTTTCATTTGGATAGATGATAAAAATCTACATTTCAGTCCGTTCTCACTAATAGCTCATATGTTTGCAACTGATCTCGCTTGTAAACGTATAATATAATTTGAAAACAATCATCATCAAGTGACTGTTAGATTACTTAGTCTTGTTTGCCCTGCCTCACCTGAGCCTATCAATTCCTCATCAGCAGATATCAAGGTTTCAGATTCAGAGTCTTCCTTCTTCTCTCTTCTGATTTTACGATACCTAAATCTTGCTCTTTGAAGAAGACTCTCTTTCCTTCTTGTGGTTTGTTTGCGCATCAAAAAGTTGTCAGTAACCCAAAACATAAGAGCCTGAAAAGGGGAAAAAGGACAATGGATGATCTACAAAAATAAACATAGTTAACAATTTGGAAACAAAGAAGCTAGGGTTACTACTCACATTGACGAAGAAAGGAATAATCAACATTACTAAAGCAACCTCAATGCGAGGGTCACTAAATGGGGACAGAATAAACTGTTGGACACTATCCCAAAAGTCTAGCATCATTAGAAGAGTTATAGATGTCTTCACAACTATCATTAAAAGCACATACAGTGCACATTGGATCAACCATGCTTGCGGTGATGGAGGTTTGCCTGCAATAGGAAAAAAATGTATAAAAATAAGGTTTGTTGGATTCCTCATCCGTGAAAGAGATAATTGAGTATAGTTTACCATATTCCCCAAAATTAATCGCATCCCAGTGTTTAGCACGTGATAGATATTGACAAAAACGAATTCCAATGTACAAGATTAGCAAACCAACAGAAGAATCTAAGAGAAAATTAATAATATACCTAAAGAATACAACAAAAAATAAATTAAAGATTAATATTATGGCAGTGATATATCCTTAACAGAACTTTCATAGATCAGCTTACCAGGTACACGGATCTCCTTGGTAATTGCTTGCTAGGAAGACATTTGCTAAATGAATCACTAAGGCTCCCATACCCTGTTTTGAAGTGTCGTAAAACCAAATGAGCCATGGCCTCCGTTCTACAGTTGGTTCACAAAATCGCTTTACTGGAAAAGTTGAAAATATAATTAGAAAAATGGAAGTCTGAACTTTGAACAAAATCAAAGTGGAAGAGAAAGTACTTACAGATAAGACAGGTAAATGCCAAGCTAGCTAATAAGACTTGAAGGAACCAACCGAACAAATCTGTCAGGGCGTCTTTGCTACAGTGAGACATTTTCCTGAACCTCTGAAATTGCCAACAGAAAATTTCAGAAATGTTTTTGTAAAAAATAGGACACGTTTAAAAAGGTTAGGGAACACTTGGCTGTCAATGCATCCGACAGGAAAATAGAGGACAGGCATTTTATGTGACAGCACTTGGAACGAAAATTATTATAGAGTGTAATTAATACCTGTGATGACAATACAATTTCTTCAATCACTACATTCAAGCCACTCTCCGATCACATTCTAAGATATTCAATGAAAGTTACTTCTTGACATTAGTGGACTTTCATTGTTAGTCGCATGACATGGAAGAAAAATTTACGGTTCGGAAACGTTGTGCCAAGCTAGGTTCAATAACTTTAGACCAATTACGGATTAAAAATGCGGAAATATGATGAAAGTATAATTTTTTTTAAAAACTTAGTTGGGTTTCGGATCATCCTATGATCGTTATTGGAAAAAACATAAAACAGTGAAAAACTAAATTTTTCATACATGAGTGGGTGGTAGGTTGATGTTCTCTATCCTCATGTGTATTGAGAACAACTTTTTGATTTGTACAGACAAGTAGTGGTTAATATTTCATTTTTACTGAAGTATCACACCACTATTATGTCATCATTTAGGCGAGCCCAGGTTTGAGACCAGTTCATTCATCTATCATAATTTGTATCGTGTGTTTCCGACTGCGGCGTCTGCACTTTTTGGTTATGTATCTTGTTTCCTTGCAGCAATGGGCTACATTTGCAAGATCTTGGCATCTGTATGACATGAAATGGCAAAATCCGTATGAATCTGCTTATGTCATCAAAAAGTATTTATCAGGCCTATGGAAACCTATATATCATCCCTTGAGTATGTATTTTACGTGTCAATTATTGTTTGTATCAAGTAGACAAATTTCTTCAATGTTATGATCTCTTGGGTTTTTTCTAGACAATTGTGGAGATCACGTTGTGGTTATTAATTCTAAAGAGGTAGCACTTCCTGGAGATGATTGGTATCGCAGAGCTTATTTTCACCATCGTCGGTATGCAGGATCCAAAAGTTGGACCCTTGCGTGGGAATTGCATGAAGCAGATAACACACTGGTAACTACACTACCATACTACTGCTTGTTAACTTGTAGTAAAAAATTTTCAAAGGTAGGAATTTTAATTGATTTTCATTTTCAGATTGTGAAGAAAGCAGTTTATTTTGCTCTGGAAAAGGGTCTCTTTCGTGGAAATCAAATGACAAGACTTCACATTTTTCCCGATGCAAATATTCCACCAGAAATTGCTGGCAACATTACAAACCAGATAAGACCATTGAGGCCGGTGCCAAGCAAGTTGGAGGAGGTTCCTGATGAAGTTGCTAGTCAGTGTCCTCAACTGTTTGATCTCCCAGCAGACTTTGTCGAGGGCTCTGACTTGTGGGGTAAACCTGACCCAGAGAGGAAAGCTCAACCAATTAGAACTCCCTACAAACCTAAAGGACAAGAACCATGGTGATTTTTGAATAATAAATTAAGTCTCATTTCATTTTGTATATTTTCAAATTTCAAGCAGTGATAAAATTAGATACAATAAATTGCATCCCTGAAATTAAAAAGTTTAAAACCTTAATAGAGGAAAGGCACATGAATTATAGAAAAGCATATTGGGAAAATAGGAGCAATAATCAGGTAACATTAAAATCCTCAATAAAATATTTCTATATACTCCATTATTCTTCTAAGTGAAGGTCTTTTGCAACAGTATGAGCACTGACATACATCATACTTGATCGATTTTGTTTGTAAGTTGAAATTGCATGGGGACGAGCTTCTTCCCAATCATATAAATCTCTGTGTGAGGAAATAAAATTAATATAAATGGGAAAATTTTCAATGGCATTTAGGAATGATAATTACTTTTTCTTCATACCTGTAAATGGGGCGTACATATTTCATGCGTCCTTGTTCAGTTACAAACTGCAATGCAGGGGCAATGGCTGGTTGCCAGCGGGCCTTCAGACCAAGGCGAATCCACCTGTTTGCAAATAAGTAAAGCATTGTAACAGAAATATTACAATTGCAATATAGTAGAGTGATCTTGAAACATACCTAAATCTTATTTCAGCATTCTGAGAGCTGGCCAAGTTATAAGTAACACCTAGGGTAGCAACTTTGCTTGGGGTCAGTGCTGGACCAGCAAGCAGTTGGGCGAGAACTTCCACGTGTTGCTCAGAGGACAAATTACCCCAGTCAGCGGGGTTGAATGGCATGGGAGGGGACTCTGACCACTTGCGCCAGCGATCGGCTAAGGCAGTACAAGCATCTGAATATGACGTATCATATCTATTTTTGAAGGATAAACAGAAGAAAAATAATATAAACAAAGTGTAAAATTGGTTCAAAACAGATTAGATTAATCAGTTAAAACATACGATGGAATATGTGGAGGCATGCCAGGTTTCCGCAACCAGGAGTCCCAATCAATGCCATTGAGAACACTGTGTTTCCCAGGGAAGAAATCATACAGGAAATTCTTCCAGTCCTCAGTTGAAATAGATTTAAATTTGAAGTGGTCGAGGTAAGCTTTCATAAAGGGTTCAAATGCTTCAGGCCCCCCCAACTGGTGCTCCAAATAGTAGAGGAATGTATGACCCTTCTCGTAGGGTACACTTGAGAATGCATCATCAGGGTCTACACCACGTAAATCATGAACGAGGCAGGTCAATGGATCTGTAGAGCCTCGTCGCTCTACCTGCATCAAAGGTTAGGACAGAGTCATGAGATACTGATATTTTGAAGAAGAAAAAAAATTGACACTGTAACAATAAACTTACTGTTTCATGCAACTCTTTTAGACCACCAATAGCACAAAATTGCCTAGCAGCTTCACCTTGAACGCGTCCTTTGATTTTCCTTTCAACAAAGACAGTCCATCCTTCATTTAGCCAAAAGTCTTCAAAAGTTCGATTTGTCACTAAGTTTCCAGTCCAGCTATGCGCAATTTCATGGGCAACAACATTGGCTAGAGACTTGTCGCCAGCCTGTTAAACAAAATAGACATTAGGTTAGAAAAAAGAAAACAAATAGTCTATGAAATGTAAATTGTTCTCCAAAAAATACACACCAAAAGTGTAGGTGTTACAAAAGTGATGCACGGATTTTCCATGCCTCCAAATGGGAATGATGAAGGTAAAACTAGCAAGTCATACTGTCCCCAGACATAGGGGCCACAGAGCTGCTCAGCAGTTTGGAGGAACGTCTCAGTCTAGGAAAGAATACATTGCTATTGAGTCATACACATTACAATCTAAGTTGAATTTTTGGAGATTATCATTTATCAATACCTGATCGAATTCAAATGCTGCACGGTCCACTAGCTCTTTCTCTGACCACACTCGAGACCTTGGCCCAATCTGCCTTGATTCCAAATGACCCACCGCAATTGCTATCAAGTATGTGGGAATGGGAACTGGTTGCCGGAAACAATGAAATTTAGTACCTGGACGAGGGCTGTTTAAAGACCTTCCAGCCTCATCTTGAAGTGCACTCATTAACACAACAAGAGCCTCAGGTGCAGAAATCTAATAAGAATATTTTTAAACAAATTAGTTTTAAAATTGTTGAATATGTATTGAGTTTTAAGAACAAGAAATTTGTCAAACCTCTGCACTGTATGTTATTTTGGAGGAGGGAGTATCTTGACAGGGAACCATAGATCGTGCATGTATGGCCTGTCAAAATTGCAGAGTTTGTATGATACCAAATTATTTCAGTCAAAATTTCAAACCAAATATCACAGAGAGAGAGAGAAAGAAAAATGTTCACCTGACATTGGCTGAACAAATATGGATGCTGCTTGCCAACTGTCTGCTCTGCACTAAGCCACTGAAGGGCACTTGCTGATGATGAGGTTTCATATTCTACACTGAGAACCAACCTATAAAACAAGTGAAAAATGTATAATGCCTGTCTTCTAAATTTAAAGCAAAACTCAACAACAATGTTCTACAACTAAAATGTCCTACCCTTGAGGTACTTCAACAGGTAATTGAATGGTTAGGCTGCAACCAAACGTTCCAATGGAGGATCCTAAACTGTATTCCAGGGTCTGGCCTGTTGATTGAACTTTAACATTGGAGATCGATAGGTCTCTTGAATCCAAAACCTAGAAACAGGAAGCATAAAATGAATGGATTTCTTTTGCATTAACAGGTGATGAAATGGACAAATCTCTTGTTTCTTAAATTTACCAATTGTGTTGTTTCTTGGCTGCGACGATCAATGGTCAAATCTGCTTTACCCTTTAACTTTTTCTCTTTGAAATCAACATCTAGGCTGAGATGAATATGAGTGACAGCAACAAGCTCTGCAATCACAGTGTAAAGACAATCCCCGATTAGTACAACACATAAATGCTTTATTAAAACTGACTGTCATTTTACAATTGCTCATATCAATGTCAAATCCGCTACCATCTGCCACAGTGCAACCTTTCACGCAGAAACTTACATGTCTGTACAGTGTAGTGACTACACCGAAAGGAACAGGATGATATGTAATGTGACGCTCAAAACAATTTGAATGTAAAGACTGAGCTCGTTCTGTTGAGTTTGACAGACCATCCAGCCGGCGACCGGTTAGTTTTGGGTTATGTGTATCAATACAAACCTGGTCTTGAGAAGGAGGTGGGGTCACCAGGGCTTAAAGCTTGTTTTCCCATGGCTGCCAGTCGTAGCAGAGACGGAGGTGGGCCCGAAGACAGTAGCTGACTGATAAAACTGTGAGCAGAATGCAGCTGCAAGTACTTCCCAGCGGTATTATCAGGCACTTTCAATGAAGGGTACAGGATCAGGGAGGAGGGTCGGGGCGGGGAAGGGGTAGGGAAGGGAAGGGAGGGGGGGAGGAGAGAAAAGCGGCCCGCGCAAGGAGATTGCGAGGCTACAACGGCCACGGCGACCTAGGCAGAGCCTCTCACGAGACTACCACCCGCTCAATTTGAACTGAACGCTTTCCGGACTATAACGATTAATTGAGAACGTAAAAGTAAAACAGTATTGTTGAGTCAAGTTTATTTTTATATTTTGTTGAGAAAAATAAATTTGTAGTTTTAAATTATTAAAGTATAAACAAACACACAAACACATATGCTCGCGCGCGCGCACACACACGTAGACAGAGAGACAGACACACACATAGTACACACACACATACACTTTAACGCAAAAAAAAAAAACAACCACACAAACACACACACACACAAGAAAAATAAACACACATGCGAACATTCAATCTGATTGAACACCTTTAAGTTCCTCAGCACAATAAAAGAGTCTTGCTTTGATAATAAAATTAAAAATATATACAGAGGTAATGCGTTTTAACTTTGACCGATAGTTTCTTACAGAATGGTATGGTTGGATTGTATCTCCCTCACTCTAACGCAGTTTTCATCAAATTATCATTTAAGCATGCAACGTACCAGTCTTCACACAATGTATGTACACTTTAATGCCTGACTGTTGGGCATTATGAAATATTGGAATTATAGAAATGGCAATGAGAGTTGCATTTATGCAGTCTTCTTGTGTTCTTTATCCAGCCATCACCTGATGACGTGACACCTTGTTTCACAATATTATAAAAATGAAAAAATGTCCTATAAGTAACCCTGTCGTAACAAAAGGTTGTTGAACCTTTGGCTAGACTGGAACAACTGGTTTGATCTGCCAGACTGGCCATATTGTTGCTGTGGTTGTCGCTGCTGCTGCTGTTGCTGCTGTTGCTGCTGCTGTTGTTGTTGCTGCTGCTGGTCCTGGGTGTCTTCTGGTACCCTTGGAAATTGTATGGGTGCTGGAGACGCAGTGTTGTCAGGGGGAGGGGCCTGGGTAGTGGGGACCCTCGACTGCTCCAACCGGACGAAGCCGGACGGGTCCAGCCCTTCGTCCAGTGACGCCAAAGGGGACGGCGTCGTGGACGACACGAAATAGCCGTCGTCGTAGTATTGGCGGCCTGCAGCCGCGGCCGGCCGGTCCAGGTATTGGTGCGAGGCAGGCGAGGGTACCGCTGTCGAGGGCGACAAGTACTGCAGGTGTGAGGCAGCGGCCACGGGGGTGGCGGCCGTGGGGCTGAAGAAGTGGCCGTGCTGAGGGGCGCCCGACGGGGACACGACGTACTGGTGCTGCTCGGGGCGCGCGGAGGGCGACACGACGTACTGATGCTGCTCGGGGGCGGTCGAGGGCGAGACGACGTACTGGTGCTGCTCAGGGGCAGCCGAGGGCGAGATGACATACTGGTGCTGCTCGGGAGCCGCGGAGGGCGACACGATGTACCGATGCTGCTCGGGGGCGGCTGAGGGTGACACGACGTACTGGTGCTGCTCGGGGGTGGCTGAGGGTGACACGACGTACTGGTGCTGCTCGGGGGAAGCCGAGGGTGAGATGACGAACTGGTGATGCTCGGGGGCAGCCGAGGGCGAGACAACGGCGTACTGCTGCTGTTCGGGGGCGGCCGAGGGCGAGACGAGGTACTGGTGAGCAGCCTCAGGCCCTGCGACGTACTGGTGCCGCTCGGGCGTCGGCGACTGGCTGGCGTGGGCGATGTACTGCGGCCTTCGCGCGGCCGGCGAAACGATGTACTGTTGGGCGTCCGGGGCGGCGGAGGGCGACACGACGTACTGCTGGAGCTTGCCGACGGGCGTGTATTGCTGCTGGACCTGCTGCACCTGCTGCACCGCTGGGGCCGCACCTCCTGTAACGGACCGGAGAGCAAAAGCATTATTCGGCTACCCCTGGCCCGCAGAGCCCACGCGATTCGGCACGCTGTCCACTCACCTGTTTGGTGCAGCTGCTCGTCGTACCGCACGTCGGCGCGGTAGCCGTGGTTGTCCGCCACGTAGCTCACGATCTGCAGGCGGCCGTCGGGGAGCTGCACGCGGTACTCGCCCCTCGTGCCGCCGCCGCTGCGCGCCTGCGCGTGCGCGAAGTTGTCACCGGATCCGGTGCCGCGCACGGAGTACGAGAAGGCGTAGTTGTCGTCCGTCTGGAAGAAGGGCACGCGCAGGGGGAAAGACGGTCGAGGGAGTACAAAGTAAGCCGAGATCAACCGGGCCACTGCTAGGGGCTCATCAACTCACGCTGTCGTGCTGAAGCTGCTGTGGCTGCGCGTGCTGGATCTGCTGGGGAGTTTGGTGAGGGACATGCTGCGCGATCTGCTGCGGGATCTGCTGCAGCTGATGTGCGTCGGGCTGATCGTAGACCAGTACTTGTTGGCGGTACACGTCCTGCTGGGGGTCCAGGGACTGCAGCTCTTGCACGGGGTAGTACCCCTGGTGTTGTTGTTGCTGCTGCTGCTGCTGCTGCTGCTGCTGTTGCAGCAGTTGCTGATGTTGGAGGTGCTGCTGCTGCTGCTGCTGCAGCTCCTGCTCCTGCTGCTGTTTCTGGTGCTGACTGCGGTGCAGCTTTGCACGGGCTGCGGGCAAAACTCAACGTCCATCATTCAAGGGCAGTACGCAGGAGTGGCTGGGGGGGCGAAAGGAGAAGGGGGCTTGCTTGCCTGCGGATCTGTGGAGCTCGCTGATGACGGTGATGGGGTGCGGGTAGAGCACGGGGTCACCGGGCTGGTGGTGCGGGTAGCGGCCCTCGCGCGGCCTCTTCCTCGCCAGCAGCGCGTACGGGTGCGGCTCCTGCACGGGGTCCTGGTGCGCGCCCGGCACCACCTGCCCGCTGGGCTGCTCGTGCTCGTCGCCGACCTCCTCGCCCGGCTGCAGCGGCCGCTGGAAGGGGTGCGGGTTGAAGTCTCTGGGCGGCAGGAACCGCTCGGGCAGCGGCTCCTCGAGGGCGGCCGCCAGCCCCGCCAGCAGCAGCAGCAGCGCGCACTGAAACAGAAAGGCCAAAAGTTCGAACGTTCCTGAATTCTTAGCCGTGCCGTACTGGCGCCAAAATTGAAATTTGCGCAATGCGCGTGCGACCCTGTCCCCCGAGTGTTTCACGCACGACGGGGCTATACGGGTGTGTGGCTGAGAGGGGACTGTCCCGGGACCACTCATTGTCAGAGCCTCCACCCCCTCCCCTCCACCTCGACGCCCGACCAGCGCGTTCCCACAAACCGCCGTGCTGGACTCGGCTGGACCGCAGGCTTCGCACGGCGCCGCCCTACGCCCTAACTGGCTGGCGCTGGCTCATCATACTTCACGTCATTTCACGTGATCTTCGTTCTGTGTGACGAGGACGAGGAGGTCCTCCGCTCCTTTCCCCGCGGCAGCTGGCTTGGGGGATCATCTGACCAGAGGATCTGACCCAGTCCAGCCGACCCTGCCGCGAGAGAGACGGGCCGGGCGCCGCTGTTTATCGACAGACGCGCGTATTATTGCCGAAATGTACCACAACATAACGGCGGGAGGGGGCGGAGCTGACCGCTGGGTGGGCCGGGGCCGCCGGGCCGGGCAGCTCTCCGCACGATCAGCACCCTCCTCCTCGCGCCCGGCGATGAGTTGTGGGGACGAGGCGCCGGGATCCACGCCCCGCCACGCCCCGCCACGCGAAGTGCCGCAAGCACCATCCCATTAGGCCCAGCAGGCGGGCGGCCAGCTCGCGCCTCGCGCGCCCAATCTGTCAGCCCTCGCGGCAGATGCTATCCCGTCCGACCCCCGCGTAACTGGCACCGCGAAATTGTGTCTAAAGAGCGCCCGGTTACCTATACACCCGGCTGCGGCCGCTTATGGGACCGAATCCGCGCGGACCTAACTACTAAGAACCGGCCGAGCCGGGCAGCTGTGCTGCTTTCACCGCCCACGCACGGGTAAACGGCTGAGGAGGATTCTGCGGTGATCGGCCTCCAGTTAGTTAACACGTTGAGTCCCACGTGACCATACGTATGGTCACAATGCACGAGATTAATGGACCCCCTGGGACTCAACGTGTTAAGTGATTAGTTCGCGGGTCCTGTCGGCCTCGGCCAGGCGGGCGTCAGCCTGCGGGGTAGGCCACCCAATGCCGCTGCACGCAGCGCGCCGCGGCGGGCGGCCTACCCACTGCCTCTCAGGCGGGCGTCAGCCTGCAGGGTAGGCCACCCAGTACCGCGGCACGCAGCGCACTTCGGCGGGCGGCCTACCCAACGCTTCTCAGGCGGCGGCGGCGACTGACATATGGGGTGGCGAATTGTGACGAGGAGTCACACTCCTTTAAAAGCTCGAGGGGCCGACTTGTCCCGCAGAGGCCCACTACCACCTCGTGCACATTCCTGTCACGCACCGCTTTAGTCCTCTTTTGCAGACTCACCGCGGAGGTGGGCGTCGCTCCCCCTCCCATCCCCTCCCGTGCCCGCGTGTGCGAGCGTGCGTGTCGTGTTTACAACCGAACTCACACCACCAACGCATCCACATTCGCAAAGTAATATTCGCGGACGCACACCATGTACCGTAGTTACCCTTGACAGGGTATGAGACTAGCCTCGCCGCGTCTAATAGTTGCACGACAATAAAAACAATTTTTTTTTTTTACAAAAGTTGTTTAATTTCATGCCAGACACACACAAAAAGGATAAAATGAAATTGGAGTGATTGTCCCATGTTTTACGACTTGCAGCAGTGACGACGACGACGACGTCGCGTGCTGCGGCCGGCTGTGGTTTCCGCGCGTCAAAGTATCGCGTGCCGAACGCCTTGGCTGCCCCGCCCCGCCCCGCCTCGCGACACGACGCTCCGCGAGGTGCACCGCCTCAAATGTTTGTCGCCGCAACCTTCCGCCCCGCGCCCGCGCTCACCCCGCTCTGCTCCAGCGGCTCAGGAGGCGGCGGCGGCGCCCGCGATGCGCCGTTGGCCGCGACCGTTTTTCACGCCTGGATACAAACCCCCCGCGCGGCGGGTGGCGGGGCGGGGGACGATCCGCGCGCCACGCGAAAGGAAGTCCCTGGCTATGCTGCTCTGCAACACCGAAAGGCGACGTCCTGCCCACTTCCTCCTAGTCTGTCCGCTTGCGCGCGCGCGCGTCCCTCGGGAGACAAGGAGGATCGAGCGAGGTAAAGTTTGTTCAGCAAGGACGAATTGGCGCAACGGCATGGTGGTGTGTGAGTGTCTGTGTGTATCTGTGAGAGAGAGTGAGAAAGAGAGAGAGAGGGAGCGAGAGAGAAAGAAGAAAGGGGGAGGGGGGCATGAATAATTTAGTGTTCTGTAGCGTGAGTGTGTGTTATTGAGACGGATGGCGGAATGGCAAGCGACCCTCCTGGTAGCCGAGCCGGTGTCCACTTTGTCTGGTAACTATAAGTTGGAGGGCTTGCGTCCCATCGCGTCGGGGGGAAGGGCCGTCGTCGCCGCTGTTCAGCTGCGCACCTGTAGTCGTTAGCGACACCCGCTGGTGCGGCGTTATAGATTTCGGGCGGCGTGGCGGACGTGCGAACTCACGTAAATGAGCGGCAAAAGGTGATCTTTGGGGAGCAGGGAAAAAGAGAGAGAAAGGGAGCGAGTGAGACAGAGAAAACACACGATCTAATGCCACATGAGATGGAGAAGGTGAAGCGAGCAGGAATGGATGACGTTTTCCTTTTCACACTCGCTCACACACTCCCCGCTCGGCGGCGGGCCTCGGCCACACAATGCCCGGATTGCAGCAAGTGAGTGCTGCTCATGGGCGTGCTCAGGGGTGGGCAGCTGGCGTGGCGCGGCTCCGTCTCGCTAAAGGCCGCATGCATCGAGACGGGAGTTGGGTTGGAAAAGGGATTTCTTCCCCGCGAGTGGGCAACAGCGCGGAGGATCGCGCAGCATTGATTATCGCCGGGGTGGGATTATAGACAGATGGGCTACTGCTATCGATACATCGATGAGGTGTCGTCGATAAGAGGTGTGCCGCGACAATCACGGGGGCGGATAATCTTCCTAGGTAAAGACGCGAATAAAGCCTCGGGATTTCTGAAATCAGCCTGACAAAAAAAAAGAACAGCAAAAGTTTTGGTACTATGCCTTTGCTCAGCTTCTGATTCTCATGACAAGGCAAGTCCAAGTCCTACATCCCGTGCGCCTCTCCGCCGCCGCCGCCGCCGGTGGTCGCGGAGATCATCGGCGTTACCCAACCATGCGAGCATGATGCGGTGGGAGAAGGCGGCGGCCCGTGCTGGCAGGCAGGGCCTATGAGAGATGTTCCGCCACGCAAGAAAAGGGTTTTCGATTCTTCTCCGTGCCCCCGAGCCTTTCGTGCGTGCGTGCGTGCGTGTGTGCGCATGTGAGTGCGTGTGCCCGGCCCGCGGCCGATTTGCCCGATTACTTCATAACGCCGCGGAAAGTAAAGGTGGAAACAAAAGGATGGTCCGCGGTCCACGGTCCACGCCAGAGGAGGTCCGGCCCCGCCGCGCTGCAAGGTACCTAGTGGACCGCGCGCCCCGCCACGCCTCGCCACGCCCCGCCACGCCCCGCCGCGCCCCGCCGCGCCCCGCCGCGCCCCGCCACGCCACGCCGCAACTCTCCATTCATCCAACCCTGAGCCGGATGAATGGCATACACGGCGACGGCTGGCTCACGGGCAGCGCACTTGCGCGCGGCTAAGTCCCAGAAACATATGGATGTGTCTAAAATTGTTTTCGTTCATGCACGAGTGTGTGTGTGTGTGTGTGCTCCAGATCTGTCGCGGCGTAGGGTCTCTCCTGCAGAGTTTACTGCTTATGCTGTTGTTCGCGGGGAGCTCTGTTCTGGCTGGCCGGAGGTGGCCAAGGGCGGGGGGGAGAGCCTTGCCGCCGCAGGGGTCGCGGGCGCGGCGCGGGCCTCGGGTGCGTCGGGTCGGCACGTGCTGCACCGCCGGCCTATCTCGCGGGTCGTTTATGTTCCGAACGGAACGGGCTGACCTCCGCGATCAGGCGCCGGCAGCGGCCGAAAAGTACGGCAAATCTGCAGAGCCGCTGCAGTCGTTACTCTGCTGGCCGGGCCCCGGTGGCCGCCAGACAATGGGGCGGGGCGGCAGTACCGCGCGTCCGGCTCCCGCTCGCGGCCTGTATGTCGCGCGTCCTTGCGGGGCGGTGCCGGTGGGGGCCGAGTGATCCGCCTGATTGCCCGAGAGAGCAGTTCCACGAGGAAAACGGCAGAGGCCACACGGCTGTCGAAATACTAGCACACTAGCTCTGGATGAGTGCGGCGCGGGGGTGGGGCTGGTGGTGGTGGTGGTGTGGTGTCGGACCGTACCAGGTCCAGTTGCTCAAACAGGTCCGCTGCGCGCGGCCCTGCCCCGGCACGAAGCACCCCGCGGCCCAGGACGGCGTCCTGCTCTAGGGCGGATGGCACTCGTCGGTGACCGTCCATCCGGTGCACTGGCCGCTGCCGGGAGTGATGCCTGGGCCGGGCCCGGCGGGTCCTCCGAGCCGCGAGAGAGGCGCATGGCGTCAGCTCCTCCTCGCGGTGTGCTCGCGGGCTGTGGCACCGCGCCTCGGGCAAGAGGGCCGCGCGGCCGGGGGGACGCTGCAGCGGATCGCGCAACATCGCGCTCTCCTGGAGAGTGCATAGCATGGGCAGAGCCCTGAGTAATGTCTACCGCTGCTCGTACGCGGGCGCGGCAGGGCCCGGCGGGGCGGCGCTTTGATAAAGAGGCTCCGGGGACTCCGCCCCGCTCTGCCCCCCCCCCCCTCCCAGGAGGCATGACACGACAAGGAAACGTGTTTTGGGAGCGGCCCTGCTCCGCGAGTGCACCGCCATAAGGGCGCAGCCGCCCCGCTGGGCCCGCCAAAGGGAAGGGCACCTCCTACACTGAGAAAAATATTTCTGTCCGGGCACTAAACGTACGTCTAATGCTCCCGACTTTTGTCCCAGCTCAAAATGAGATAGTGACCTGCCATAGAGTTTTAGTGCTGTGCTCTAAATTTTCTTTGCCTGGGATGCTACGTTTAGCTCCCAGCGCTAGA